GGGACGCATTTCACAATCCCCTAAAATGTGTATAGGGGTACATATTCAAAATGAGCCTGGGTTGTTTTAAAGCAATTAATTGACTTTACTTTAAAAAGTAAGTAAAGTTGGTTGCTGTTTTTCACTGTTTGGAAAAAAAAAAAAAAAAAAAAAAAAGTTGACTTAACCTAAAATTTTAAGGCAACAAACTTAAGGACATTTGAGTTTACTCAACTTAAAAAGAGTCAAGCGAGGTAACTCAAAAATGTCCTGAAGTTTGTGGACTTAAGATTTTAAGTCAACTTTGTTTTTTTGCAGTGTATTTGACTTTAAATAAAATAATGAATAAATCCGTTGCTTTTAAATTGATTAATTGTGAGGCGAGGCCTGATGGGTTTAGTGCCCTCCACATTCTCTGGCTGTCATCGGCCACAGAAAACAGCAGAAACTCAATCAAGCACAGTATTTATAGAGTGCCGGCTTTTAAGAGAAGATTGATGGATGTGCGGAAATAAGAAACACTTTCAGTTGGATGCCAAACAGCGCTGGGATGAAGCGATGACAGTGTTATAGAAGCAAATCATGTTGTAATCAATGCATCTAATTTAGTGCACTGTAAATCTGAAGCGCTGACTAAAAAGTTAAAGCAATAAGCTGACTTTAAATAAAGCGCTTTGAATCACCTTTACAAACTATTACTTAAACTATTAACTAGCAATTACACACTTTACATTTTAATACATATATATATATATATATATTATTTTTTAATCACCGTTAAAAGGTTTCAAATGGATTACTTTACTTTAAAAGCTGTGGGTTTACACACTTTTAAAGCAATTAGTTAACATCACTTAAGGTGAGTGAACACTACAAACCTAAAGCAATTGGTTGGCTAATTTAATACTTCAAAAGCAATTAGTTGAGTTTAGTCACCTTTTAAAATAAAGTCAACTAATCATTTAAAAAGGCAGTGCATTTACTCACTTTTTAAAGCTATTAGTTGACTTTACTGCTCCAAAACAGCAACAAAAAAAAATAATAATAATAAAAATAATAATAATAATAATAATAATAATAATAATAAAAAAAACTCAATGGAGCTTAGTATTTATGCTGACTCTTAAGAGAAGATTGATAGTAAACCCATTGCTTTAAAAGCGATTAGTTGACTGTAAACAAACTAGTGAGTAAATTTGTTGCTTTTAAAGTAATTAACTGACTTTAATTAAACTAGTGCGTAAATCCATTCCTTTTAAACCGATTAGTTGACTTTAAAATATATAGTTTTATACACCCTTTATGTTAAATCAACTAATAATTTAAAAAGCAGTGGACTTGCTCACTTAAAGCTATTAGTTGACTTCACTGCTCCAAAACAGCAAGACAGCAAAAAAAAAAAAAAAAAAAAAAAAAAAAAAAAACCTCAATGGAGCTTAGTATTTATGCTGACTTTTAAGAAAGATAGATAGTAAATGCATTGCTTTAAAAGTCAACTAATCCCTTTTAAAGTAATGGGTTTACTCACTAGTTTAATTAAAGTAAACTAATTACTTTCAAAACAATGGATTTACTCACTCAATTAGTTAAAGCGATTAGTTGACTTTAATTGTCTAGTGAGTAAATCCTTTGCTTTTAAAGCGATTAGTTGACTTTAAACTAGTGAGTAAATTAATTGATTTAAAAGACAACTAATCACTTTTAAAACAACGGATTTACTCGCTTGTTTAATTAAAGTCAACTAATCTCTTTAAAAGCAAATGAATTACTCACTTGTTTAATTAAATCGATTAGTTGACTTTAATTATCTAGTGAGTAAATCCTTTGCTTTTAAAATGGTTAATTGGCTTCAAACTAGTGAGTAAATCCATTACTTTTAAAGCGGTAAGTTGACTTTAAAAGCTATGGTTCTAATCACCTTTTAAGTTAAGTCAACTAATCATTTTAAAAGCACTGGATTTGCTCACTTAAAGCTATTAGTTGACTTCACTGCTCCAAAACAGCAAAAAAAAAATAAATAAATAAATAAATAAAAAAATAAAATAAAAAAATA